GTAATTAAGACTTCCTAGTTTCCCATTCCACTTCTAACTTAACATGAAAACCTCAGATACACAGAGACCGACGATGAGAAACAAGCTCTCTCAAGTGTCGGGTTAAAGGACTGAGGTGGGCCGGGAAAGTTACGTCAAGAATCCCAGCACTCCCGGTCACACCCGACTTGACTCACACGTGCCCGGCTGCACCTCAGTCCCCAGGGGCGTCCGAGGACCCAGGCGGGAACTGAAGCAGCACGCGCCCAGGTAACGGAGCCATCCTCAGGCTGAGAGCGCGGGCCAGCTCCTATGGTTAGAGTGCAGACGTGCAAAGACTGCAAGGAGCAGAGCCGCAGGCGCAGTCTCCCCCCGCCTTAGGGCCTGCAGCGTACCACAGACCTGGAGCGTTTCTGGTCTCCCTAAGCCCACAGCTGAGGTCCTGTAAGGCCGAACCAGCTGCCCTGCGCCTCAGGGAAAAGCACACCAGGTTGTGAAGCTCCCCCGTTTCCAGCTCATCACACCCCGTCAGTCAAACGCCAAGGACAGGTGGGCGGGAGGGACCGCGGCTCAGGGACGCTTCCCTTTGTCGCTGTAGCATGGGGTGGGGGTGAGAGGGAGCTGGGAGGTCCAGCCCCAGCAGGCCATGGCTGGGGACTCTAAGGCGAGGCTGGCTGTTGAGGGGTCGCTGAGGATGGACTTGCCACAGGCGCTCTCTAACACCCCTGTTACGCCTTCTTGACTCCAAAGGCACCACTAAGACCAGAGGGCTTGAAGGCCACCAGAACCCAGCGCACTGCCTGCTCCCCCTGGGGCAAACCACGGACCCACCTGGGGCTCAGTCTCTGCCCGTGGTAAGGGCACCCCCCGCCCCGTTCGTTCTGGCGTTCTAGTAACAGCCAGTCACGTAAGGCTGCATCGGCTCCACCAACAGCCACCAAGTGTGGGCGGACTTGAACTGACCATGGCATTGGAAGCACAGAGCCCCTACCCCACCGTCTCCTTCAGACCCGAAGCCTGGAAAGGGTGAGGGGCTCTCCCGAGAACCCCAGGAACTTGCCAGCAACCTGGAGAAATGAGACTTAGCCCTGTCGAGGGATTCCTGGGACCCTGAGCCCTGACTGGCACAGCTGTAGGGGGAGAAGTGGGTTCCATCCGTCACAGAGAAGGAGAGGGAGAAAGGCACCAGGCAGGAGAAGCACTCACCCACTTGCCTCTCCTCCGCCATGGTGGACCGCACGCCAGGGGCAATGGCGATCGCGGAAATAAGGCGGCGTCCACCCCACGCCCACGCGGCCGTGGCCTTTGAGGACTCTCCGGCCAGAGGCCTCCTCCTCATTGGCTGCAGCAGGCTCTGAGCAGCCAGGCCAGAGCGGGAGTGGGGCCGACGCTCCCTGCACCTGTGCCCACACGTACTCTGCGCCTGCCCGCACCTGTGCTGGGGAGTCCCAGGCTTGCCCAGCTATTCCTGATTGTCTCAGAGCGACCACTGCAGCCTGCACTGCCCGCCCTCATTGCACACAGCTGGGAGCCGCACTCAGTGTCTTTAGAAATACTTCTATTGTGGGGCTGGCGCTGTGGCGCAGTGGGTTAACGCCCTGGCCTGAAGCGCCGGCATCCCATATGAGCGCTAGTTCAAGACCCAGCTGCTCCATTTCAATCCAGCTCTCTGTATGGCCTGGGAAAGCAGTGGAAGATGGCCCACATGCTTGGGCCCCTGCACCCACGTGGGAGACCCAGAGGAAGCCCCTGGCTTCAGATCGGCGCAGCTCCGGCCATTGTGGCCAACTGGGGAGTGAACCAACGGATGGAAGACTCTCTGTCTGTCTCTACCTCTCTCTGTGTAACTCTGACTTTCAAATACATAAATATTTAAAAAAAGAATGCTCATAAAAATACTTTATTGTAAACAGGAAATTATAACTGCACACATTTGTGGGATACAATGGGGGTCTTATATGTATACCATGTGGCATAATTAATCTAATTAACCAAAACTGAGCTCAATACTTATTTTTTTTTTTTACTTTAGGGATTTATTGATTTATTTAAAAGGGTTGGGGAGAGAATCTTCTATCCACTGATTCCCCAGATGACTGCAGTACCGGGTACTGGACGAGGCTGAAGCCAGGAGCCAGGAGCCCCATCTGGGCCCCCGACATGGGTGTCAGGGACTGTGGGCCATCATCTGCTGCTTCCCAGGTGCAGGAAGCTGGAGCAGAAACAGAGTAGCTGGGGTTCCAACCAGCGCTCCAGTATGGGATGTGGGTGCCCACACACACACTCCTACCCCTTCAGTCATTGCTTTCACGAGGTGAGGCTAGCACACAGTGCAGTGTCTGAGCCCGGGGCTGGCGAGTTTCGATAAATGCAGACACCCACATTACCCCATCCCCAGAGACACGGGGCCCTTCCATCAGCCCAGGAAGTTCCTTTGTGCTGCTTGAGATCAGTCTGGGGGAGGGCGTCTGCGCCCTCACTCCGCCAGCCCTTCCCTGCCCCACCAGAGACACACGCAGGGGACCTGCAGCTCGGTGGGTCGTCAGGGTCCACCTGGGAAACTGAGGAGGGACAGAGTGGGCGTCCCCTTCCTGCGACCCTGAAGTCTCCAGGCTGCATCCCGCCTGGCCCGGTTAGCTCTGCTGAGCTGTGACTGCTGGAGGAAGGCACATCAGGGGCTCCCACGTGCCCCTTCCTTCCATCTCGGGGTTCGTCCCGCAGCACAGGAAGCCGACACGGGGCTCCTGGCAGCTGCGAGGTGCTTCCATCCCTCACACACTCAGGGACGCGAGGAACGGAACCCACGTGGCCCCCGGTGCGATGAGCATCCCCCGGTCTCTGTGAGTGCCTCACGCGTGATGGCTTGGGCGTGCTTTCTGTCTGGTGTCCACAGCAGCTCGTGCACACCTCCGAATGACTCAGGTCTTCAGTTCCGGGCGCTGTTACTCAAGGGGAGGGAGGTGCAGACCTCACCAGCGTGCACACAACCTGTGCTTTGCACGACTCCCACTCCAGGCGAGGTGCAGCCTCCCCTCCCACCAGAGGGCTCTGGGTTGAGAGCTGGCTGTGGATGGTGCTGTGTTTAGAGTTGGTTTCTGCAATGCTGCAGCCCTAACACCAGGATTCTCCACCTTCCTTTTTTGGTTTTGGTGAATGCCAGCCCGCTTCAGCCCGAGCAAGGCCACCGTCTGCGAGCAGCAGCCCTCGCCATGCCGCCCACTGTGGCAGCGACACCCACCCGGCCCCTCATCCTGATCGCTACCAGGAAGCTCAGTTCCACAACAGATCTCCCACTTCCACTATGACTGCTCTCAAACCTCGCTGAGGCCAGAGTCGCCTGGGAAACTGATGCCTGGGCCACACCATCGTGACTGGGTGGGACTGTCTGGGGCTGGGAGCCGGCTGGCTGTGCTCCAAACCTAGCATCCTGCTCCCTTATCTGTGGAGGTCAGCGTGGAGTGTACAGACCGTGTGGGTGCCATACATCCGGTGTGCAGTTACGAACATTGCCTCAGTAAGTCACGCCACGTAGGAGACAACGTACCCTTCTTTCCCCACGCTACGATCACTGTCAGGAATCCCTCGCTTGTGATATTAATGCCCTGTTTTCCAGAAAAATAAATCACACACACACATTCCCTCGGGAGTGGAGACACCAACAAGGACAACAGCTGATCACTCCACTGTGTATAAAGAGAATGTTTTTTTAAAGGGGAAAAAAGACTGAATTCCCAAAACTGTCCTGACTACTTTGAGAATGGCCAGCAGGTGGCGCTGGCATCGGGACACCCACAGCCCTTTCAGAGCGGCTGGGATCCAGCCCTGGCCCCACTCCTGATCCCAGCTTCCTGCTAGGGCAGACCCTGGGCAGCAGCCGTAATGACTCACGTAGCTGGGTCACTGACATTCGCACAGGACACCTGGGTTCTCGGTCTCCTGCTTGAGCCCCAGCCCAGCTCTGATTGTTGTGGGCACTTGGGTAATAAATCAGTAAATATAAACTTTATATCTCTGCCTCTCAAATTAAAAAAAATATATATATATTTTATTTTTTATTTTTTTGGATAGGCAGAGTGGACAGTGAGAGAGAGAGACAGAGAGAAAGGTCTTCCTTTGCCGTTGGTTCACCCTCCAATGGCTGCCACAGCCGGCATGCTGTGGCTGGCGCACAGCGCTGATCCGATGGCAGGAGCCAGGTGCTTCTCCTGGTCTCCCATGGGGTGCAGGGCCCAAGCACTTGGGCCATCCTCCACTGCACTCCCTGGCCACAGCAGAGAGCTGGCCTGGAAGAGGAGCAACCAGGACAGAATCCGGTGCCCCGACCGGGATTAGAACCCGGTGTGCCGGTGCCTCAAGGCGGAGGATTAGCCTATTGAGCCACAGCACCGGCCAAAATATATATATATATATATATTTTTTTAAAGAGTATACTAGTTAGCTAGGACTAAGTTAGGAATCAGGTTTCATTTCTGAAGTTCCTTGAACCAGCTATGAAGGTTCTTCCAAAAGCCCACAGAAAATTCACATTATGAGAAAGCTGCATGGACTTCAAACTTTTGCACCAAAGTAACCGTAGCCTTAATTCCATTTTCCATGAACCTCTGAGAATATCCTCGTATTATCTTCCTTGGGGATTTCCTGTGGGTACTTTTTAGACAGTGTAAGGATCAGGTTTCTTAACAGAGCTTACTGGTAAAGAAATCACACTTGAAAAGTCTTCAAAGTGTACTGATGCACATTTTTAATTAATTGCTCCCAACACCCTAGGAGGTGAGGCAGGCATTTCCCAGTGAACACGTTTGCACAACACATTAAAAACAGCCCAGGAGCCAGGAGTAGACTGGCTGGAGCTCTGCTTGCCTGGGGGCCCCCAGCTGGGTGCTCCACTATATCTAAACCCACAGCATGCACAACCCGAGGGCACCGTTCCCAGCACAAACCCCGCCGCTCTGGACCCCGCGTGGCCCAGAGAGCAGGGAGCCATTGCCCGGCTGGCGGCCAGTCCACGGCCCCCAGCGGCACTAGGAGTTCCAGTCCTGCACTATCTTCAGGTAGTTGCTCTTCACCGTGGGGCCGCTCAGCCGCGCCAGCATCTCCACATCCCCTTTTGCTTTTCTCTCCCTGGGAACGACACCAAGAGGGTTTTGTTCTCTCACATTCAGGCTTCTGTGGCAGCCCTGGGCAAGCGTGCAGACCCCACCCCCCACCCCCCCAGAACAGAAGCTGACCACCCAGGAGACCACCGTGGCCCCACGGAGTAGATGGAGACCAAAGGGGGCTCAGACATGGCTTCAAAGTGCCCTGGTCCAGCCACATGGTAGACGTGCCCCCCCCAGCCCTTCCTCCTGCCAGCCACACCCTCGTATGGCCCCTCTCTCACTGGACCAGGCCTGGTCTGTGCCGTCAATAGAACAAGGCACGGGGCGGGGTGTCAGTTTCTAGGCTAAAGAATGAATGTGTGCGTGTGTGTGTGCGTGTGTGTGTGCCCGCGTCCATTGGCCTGTCTGTCCCTCTCCTGTCACTGTTTTGGGGGGATGCCACATGTCCATTCACAGCACCGGAAGCCTCCTGTCTGCAGCCAGGTGAGTGGGCACAGACGCAGGTCCAACAGCTCCTCCCCCAACCACTTAACTGAGGACTCACAGCCAGACCCTTCCCGTGAAACCACGCCCACATGAACCCGCCACCAGCAGGAGATTCTGCACAGGAAACAGATGCTTGTCACCGGGCTGCCTGTCACACCGCAATAGACAGAGAACACACCACGCGTGGCTCCAACCTTCCCCCCAAATCCACCACTGCGGGGACGCAACAGCGTCAGAGTGCCTCGTACTCAGTGTCCGATTCCCCCGTCCCAGTGGAACCTCCATGAGAAGACGCCGAGCTGGCGTAACAGACAGGGAAACAGAGGCTTAGGGTGGCAAAGAGACGGCTGGTGAGACGGAAGAACAGACGTGGGTGCCTGTCGCTTCTCGGCCTTTTGGCTAGGATCAAGTGTAGATGCAGGTGCCCAAGACAGAGCAGGCAGGAGGAGAAGGAAGCAAAGGCCAGACAGCAGAACCCAGTCCCCGTCTCTGTCAGATCAAAGCAGGAGCCGGGGTTTGAACCGTGACCGCAGACCCCAGGCAGCGAGGTGGGAACGTGGCAGCGTCTCCCTGTCCCGGAGCCAGGGTTTGAACCGTGACCGCAAACGCCAGGCAGCGAGGTGGGAGCGTGATGGCGTCTCCCTGTCCCGGAGCCGGGGTTTGAACCGTGACCGCAGACCCCAGGCAGCGAGGTGGGAACGTGGCACGTCTCCCTGTCCCGGAGCTGGGGTTTGAACCATGGCCGCAGACCCCAGGCAGTGAGGTGGGAACGTGGCACGTCTCCCCGTCCCGGAGCTGGGGTTTGAACCGTGACTGCAGACCCCAGGCAGCGAGGTGGGAACGTGGCATGTCTCCCCATCCCGGAGCCGGGGTTTGAACCGTGACCGCAGACCCCAGGCAGCGAGGTGGGAGCGTGGCAGCGAGGTGGGAACGTGGCACGTCTCCCTGTCCCGGAGCTTTCCCTGGGCGGCCCGAGCAGAGACTCACAGGAGGACCTTGTCCCTCTGCCGTTGGCTCGGGAAGGCCCCGACCAGGGTGAGCATGCCCAGGAGGCCGATGCTGTTCTTGCTCAAGTCCAGGTACCGCAGGCTGGGGTTGCTGAGCAGCATGGAGGACATGGCCGAGCAGCAGACCGAGGTGAACAGGCACTGCTCCAGCCTGTGGGCCAGAAAGAGACGCGGCTAAGTCCACGAGCCCTGGCACCTACGTGGCCGGACCCGCACAGGGTTCCAGGCTCCTGGCTTCACCCTAACCCAGCCCCAGCTCTTGCAGCCATTTGTGAACCGGTGGATGGAAGACCTCCTTCTCTCCATCACTCTGCCTTTCAAATAAATAAAGTAAGTATTTAGCTGGCGCCGCGGCTCACTAGGCTAATCCTCTGCCTTGCGGCGCCGGCACACCGGGTTCTAGTCCCGGTCGGGGCGCCGGATTCTGTCCCGGTTGCCCCCCTTCCAGGCCAGCTCTCTGCTGTGGCCAGGGAGTGCAGTGGAGGATGGCCCAGGTGCTTGGGCCCTGCACCCCATGGGAGACCAGGAGAAGCACCTGGCTCCTGCCATCGGATCAGTGCGGTGCGCTGGCCGCAGTGCGCCGGCCACAGCGGCCATTGGAGGGTGAACCAACGGCAAAGGAAGACCTTTCTCTCTCTCACTGTCCACTCTGCCTGTCAAAAAAAAATAAATAAATAAAAAATAAATAAATAAATAAAGTAAGTATTTAAAAATGAAAGAATAGGCTGTGGAATCCCTTACTCTGAGAAGCCCTGAGCCCGATGTATCTTTCAAAAAATGGACTGTAACTACTTTTCTTTGCTCATTGAACAAAATCTTTACTCGTCCATCTCTGTGCCTGGCACTGGGTATTGTGGGCACAGCAGTGCGTTAGCAAGACGGACACCATCCTGGGCTCCCCAGAACTCACAGCTGCCTGGGCACAGAGGGAATTGGGGACCAGGTAAACGCAGCTGTCCCCCAGAGACTGTGGGGCTTGGCTCCAAAATCTGCGTGTGGTCAAGCCCCGTATAGGAAATGCCACGCTGTGCCCACTCTCCCGTGCACTTGCTGTCCTGCAGATGGCCGCTAACACCATGACGGTAAATGCCATGCAAACAGTGACAGCACACTGCTCAGCAATTAATGACAAGACACGACCGTAACGTGTTCAGTAGATGCAGCAATTTGCCGTGGACGTGGACATGCAGACCCAGAGCCGCCGGTCACTCCAGTACTGTGGCTTCGTCACGCCACTGTGCGAAGTGTTCTGGTCCCTCGTGAGTTAGTCACTGTGTGCTGCCACACAGCACTCACGGCAGACCGGGAGAAACAGACTCACAGCACACGAGAACACCGTGTGCCACAGATTCATCGCCCGTGTGTAAGAGGGAAGGGCCCAGCCCTGGACCCCATCCTGGGACATGGAGCACGAGCTCTCTAAGGAGCCAGGCTACACCCTCTGCCCACCCCCAGGTCGTGCGTTTATGGATTCACCAACCCCGGGTCTGAAACATTAAACTCATCTGTGCTGAACCCCGACAGTCTTTCCCCCTTGCCCTTGCTCCCTACAGAATAAAGGACAACACCGATTTCTGCAGTATTCACGTCACGTTAGGACTTGCAGATGATCCAGGGAGAGCTGGAAGTGTATGGGAGACGTGCGCAGGGGACATGAGGGGACTTCAATAAGCTGGTGGGAATGGAATTTAAAGATAAGTTTATCAGGGCTGGTGCTGTGGCATAGCAGGTAGAGCCACTGCCTGCAGTGCCGGCATCCCGTATGGGCATCGGTTCGAGCCCTGGCTGCTCCACTTCCAACCCAGCTCTGTGCTGTGCCCTGGGAAAGCAGTAGAAGATGGCCCAAGTCCTTGGGCCCCTGCACCCATGTGGGAGACCTGGAAGAAGCTCCTGGCTCCTGGCTTTGGATCAGCCCAGCTCTGGCCATTGTGGGCATTTGGGGACAACGGCTAAGCACAGATGGATTGCTGGGTCCCACACTCCGAGTTTGCGATTGCACAGGTCTGGGGTGGGCCCTCCAGCCTCAGGTCATGGAGCTGGATGCCAGCGCACTCTGCCCTCCCCCGTCCGGAGGGAGCTCTGTGGACGGCTGCGCTGCTCTGGGGCAGGGCCCGGGGCACTTACTCCAGGACCTGCAAGCTGCAGTCAGGGTTCTTCAGGGCCTCGCAGAGCAGGGTGACCCCCTTGTCCATCAGGCTGTTGAAGCTGAGGTCCAGACTCCTCAGGGTTTGACTTTGACAGAGGACAGAGGCCACGTCCTGGCAGCAGGCAGAGGTCAGAGCGCATTTTCTCAGCCTGCAGAGAAACACAGGCCAGGGTCATGGGCGCCCGGTCCAGGCGGATGGAGGGAGAGGTGCCCAGCGCTCCACGGCCAGGCGGCGGCCAGGTGGAAAGAGAGCAGCTTCAAGACTCTAGGCACATAGGGGAGGGGGAGGGAAGGAAAGCATGGATGGGTGGTCCTGATGTACCCACAGCACAGGGTGTGCACCCGTCGGAAGGTCACTCCTCCCCAGGATGTGACCACAGCACAGGGCAAGCACCTGTCGGAAGGTCACACTGTCCCAGGATGTGACCACAGCACAGGGTGTGCACCCGTCGGAAGGTCACACTGTCCCAGGATGTGACCACAGCACAGGGTGTGCACCCGTCGGAAGGTCACACTGTCCCAGGATGTGACCACAGCACAGGGTGTGCACCCATCGGAAGGTCACACTGTCCCCAGGATGTGACCACAGCACAGGGTGAGCACCTGTCAGAAGGTCACTCCTCCCCAGGATGTGACCACAGCACAGGGTGTGCACCCGTCGGAAGGTCACACTGTCCCAGGATGTGACCACAGCACAGGGTGAGCACCTGTCAGAAGGTCACACTGTCCCCAGGATGTGACCACAGCACAGGGTGAGCACCTGTCAGAAGGTCACACTGCCCCAGGATGTGACCACAGCACAGGGTGTACACCCATCGGAAGGTCACACTGTCCCAGGATGTGACCACAGCACAGGGTGTGCACCCATCGGAAGGTCACTGTCCCCAGGATGTGACCACAGCACAGGGTGTGCACCCGTCGGAAGGTCACTGTCCCAGGATGTGACCACAGCACAGGGTGTGCACCCGTCGGAAGGTCACTGTCCCCAGGATGTGACCACAGCACAGGGCAAGCACCTGTCGGAAGGTCACACTGTCCCAGGATGTGACCACAGCACAGGGTGTGCACCCGTCGGAAGGTCACACTGTCCCAGGATGTGACCACAGCACAGGGTGTGCACCCGTCGGAAGGTCACACTGTCCCAGGATGTGACCACAGCACAGGGTGTGCACCCGTCGGAAGGTCACACTGTCCCAGGATGTGACCACAGCACAGGGTGAGCACCTGTCAGAAGGTCACACTGTCCCCAGGATGTGACCACAGCACAGGGTGAGCACCTGTCAGAAGGTCACACTGCCCCAGGATGTGACCACAGCACAGGGTGTACACCCATCGGAAGGTCACACTGTCCCAGGATGTGACCACAGCACAGGGTGTGCACCCATCGGAAGGTCACTGTCCCCAGGATGTGACCACAGCACAGGGTGTGCACCCGTCGGAAGGTCACTGTCCCAGGATGTGACCACAGCACAGGGTGTGCACCCGTCGGAAGGTCACTGCCCCAGGATGTGACCACAGCACAGGGTGTGCACCCATCAGAAGGTCACTGTCCCAGGATGTGACCACAGCACAGGGTGAGCACCCGTCGGAAGGTCACACTATCCCCAGGATGTGACCACAGCACAGGGTGTGCACCCATCAGAAGGTCACTGTCCCAGGATGTGACCACAGCACAGGGTGTGCACCCGTCGGAAGGTCACACTGTCCCCAGGATGTGACCACAGCACAGGGTGTGCACCCGTCGGAAGGTCACACTGTCCCCAGGATGTGACCAGAGCACAGGGTGTGCACCCGTTGGAAGGTCACACTATCCCCAGGATGTGACCACAGCACAGGTGTGCACCCGTCAGAAGGTCACACCTTCCCCAGAAATACACACGAGTATTGTTCATCAAAAAACAAAGCAAAACATTTAAGGAGATGAAAATGCTGACAAACTGGATTTGATCGCCACACATTGAATCCACGCATTGCATTGTCACACTGTCCCCCTTAGATGTGACACCAACACAAAATTAAAATCAACCACCATGTGCCGGCGCCACGGCTCACTAGGCTAATCCTCCGCCTAGCGGCGCCGGCACACCGGGTTCTAGTCCCGGTTGCCCCTCTTCCAGGCCAGCTCTCTGCTGTGGCCCGGGAGTGCAGTGGAGGATGGCCCAGGTGCTTGGGCCCTGCACCCCATGGGAGACCAGGAGAAGCACCTGGCTCCTGGCTCCTGCCATTGGATCAGTGCGGTGCGCTGGCTGCAGCGCACCGGCCACAGCGGCCATTGGAGGGTGAACCAACGGCAAAGGAAGACCTTTCTTTCTCTCTCTCTCACTGTCCACTCTGCCTGTCAAAAAAAAAAAAAACAAACAAACAAACAAAAAAAACTCAACCACAACACCATTACATTATATTTCCTTTTGTGTGTGTGTGTGTGTGTGTGTAAATCAGCTTTCTCAAGAGGTAGTCACCATGTACAGTATGCACTCCACTGGTCTCATAGAGTTGTGCGATCATGACAACAACCAGTGTTGGAACATTTTCCTCCACCCGTAGACTCCACTCCGCACCTGCTCCCTCTCCACGCCTTCTCTGCTCAGTCACCCACTGCCCGCCCTCCCTGTGGACTTGGACACATCCTACAAAGGGACTCATCCCTCCGTGCTCGGCTGTCTCCCTCCGTTCAGCACAGTTTCTCCTGAGTCACCCTCGCCATGGCACGGGCTAGCACTTCTTTCCCTGGCAGGGTGGGGCAACGTCCCCGTTTGGAGAGGGCGCCCTGCACGTCGCTCGCCTATCGTGAACAATGCGCCGTGATCATCTGTACACAGGGCTCCGTGTGCGTGTGGGCTTTCGATCCTCTCATGTACAGTCCTAAAAGCGGGCCTGGGGCTCAAGCAGTCTCTGCTTCCACTACTGGGAGCCCCGAGACTGTTTGCCAAAGCAGGGTGCCGTCTTCTGCCTCTTTTTGGGGAGCTAGATGCATCAGTGGTGTAGGGGGTCTTTTATGCCACTTCACGCGCCTTGCTTCAGGCTTCAGGCACTGAACCTGGCGCTGGGGATTCCTTCTGGCAAGGCCTCTGCCTCTGATGCTCATATTTTAATGTGAGACAAAAACCAAAGAAGAAAGTTAGGTATTGTGGGTCCCGGGATGTCCCGGTAGACCAGTTATCTGAAGCTACTCAGAGACGTGGGAGAGGGAGGCTGCTATCTGGTTCTACAGTCATCGCACACGATAGGCAGGGCTTGATGCACAACAGACACACACAATCTCTGAATTTAAGCAGGAAAAAGCCAACGTGTGGTTTCCCCTGGAAGGAACTTTAAAGCACTGGGTTAGAGAAACACAGCACCTTGTAACTGAGCGGTTTTTATGGAGCAGGGGTTAAGCACCCGTGATGCCGTGGGGAGAATGAGGAGAACAGAGTGCGAGCTTGGCCAGCAGCAGATCAGAACTCTCCTGAGACAGCAGCAGGTTCTCAGAGTCAGGGCGTCTGCCTGCCAGCACCCATCTCCTCATACTTCTGTGGAGCCTTGTCTTGTGTGGGGACAGCCGCTCACCTCTCTCCCCTGATGACAAAGGAGAGGAAGACTCCCTTTCCCGGGTTGCCACTAGTCAGGGGACACAGGTGTGACATGGACTCGCCCCTCAGAGGTGACATCCCTGAGGAACGGGGCACAGGAATGCAGCCTGAACCCTGAGTTCCGAGGGACTGTCACAGGCTCGCCCCCCGTGAACGCTGTAGCTGGGAGATCCTGCCCTGCAAGGGGCCTGGGAGCTGTCGCGTCCCTTTCTTCCTGCTGGATACAGTTCCTCCAACTTCTTCTTCTTTTTTTTTGGACAGGCAGAGTTAGACAGTGAGAGAGAGACAGAGGGAAAGGTCTTCCTTCCATTGGTTCACCCCCCAAAATGGCCGTCATGGCCGGTGCTGTGCCGATCCGAAGCCAGGAGTCAGGTGCCTCCTCCTGGTCTCCCATGCAGTGCAGGGGCCCAAGCACCTGGGCCATCCTCCACTGCCTTCCCGGGCCACAGCAGAGAGCTGGACTGGAAGAGGGGCAACCAGGACAGAACTGGCGCCCCAACCGGGACTAGAACCCGGAGTACTTGCGCCGCAGGTGGAGGATTAGCCTAGTGAGCCGCGGCGCCAGCCAGTTCCTCCAACTTCTGCTAAGCCTGTGAAGGAGCTCCTCCTGTGCACCCAGCCCCCTCTCACGCCTGAGCTACCTGCATCTGGCTCTGTCCCAGGCAGTCACACACCTGGCTGAGAGCTGGGTTGGGACCGTCTATGCAACTGACATCCTCTGTCACGCTCACGTACAAGCTGTGAGATTCAGTCACCGTGATGTCCCCTGAAGAGGCCAGACCGCCCCCACCACAAGCATCCCACACACTGTAGGCTGCTGTCCAGTGTCGCACCACCCTGCCTCTTTCTCTGCTCCTTTTGTAGGGTGTCCAGTTTTCTTCCCAACACAGGGAGCGGTGGTTCTAGAATCAGGATCCTGCTCTCTGATGACGGCTCGCCATAAAGCTTCAGGTAGACCCTGAGACACTTCCCCTGGACGGTCACCTACAGCCCTGACGGTGGCCTTGCTCCACGCTCACCTCCAAGCCTGCTCTGAAGCCCTGGCAACCGGTCATCCCCTGTGTGTGGACCTGACTTGGACATGGCTTTCAGAGCAGTGCCACCGGTGCTTCAGGGCGCATCGTACAGACGACCAACACGCCTGCATTTCACAGGTCGTGCACGTGTCTCTGGTTTTCCACCTTGAAATGAAATACAAGAATGGAACAAAGCCGCCATCAGCTGCATGCGTTCTCCCTCTCCTCCCAGTTTTGCTCAGGAAATGCTATTTCCCTACATGGCCCACGTGCCCTAAGGAAGCTGATGGCACCCCAGCTACGGCGGTTCCTCTGGATGCCCTAAGTGTACCCCATCTTCTTAGCAACTTGTTCATCCAGGGCAGTACCGCCTTTGTCAGTGAGGACAGAGGGGAAATCTGCAGAACCCCCTGGGACATGTCTGCTGTACTCCCTAGGGAGCTTCCCAAGTCTCCTCCTCCCCCTCCGAATCTTGCAATCTTACACGGAGCTCCAGCAACGGCTCAGGCCACCCTGTTGTAAGACTTAGCTGGAGGTGAGACTCGCTCGGGAAAAAGAGCCATGGCGGCCTCGGGGACCAGCCGCGAAGGCTGCTCCGTCTCTGCCCCTCTGGGTCCTTGACCCAGCAAACGTCTCTGCTGCTCAAGGCAGTTGGGTGTGAGATAGACAAAAGCACTCTGCCACCTAAGGGGAGTCATTTAGAATTCACGACCGGGTAAGAGAAACACGAGAGGTTCTCAGTTAGTATTTACCAGGGAACTTCACAAGTTTGTAGAAAAATGGAGTTGAAAGGTAAGTTCCCACTGCTGCCAGACTTTGGTTTGCAATTTACAGACTTTTCCTCAGTACCTGTTCCCTGAGCTTTCTGAGGAGTCCCCGTTTTCTGGCCCATGCCGTGGAGTTGGCAGTGACCTCTTAAAGCCGGGTGTGAGCTCACGAGGAGTCATCTGGTCTCAGGGGCCTGAGGCTGACCCAGAGATGGGGACATACCTGACGGCGGAGGTCCCCAAGCTCTCTCGGTTCACACGCCTTTAGCGGCTTGGTAATTTTTCAGGTACTCCTTGTTTTCCATTAAATTCTGTGATACTCCCAAGACCATAACTCCTGCAAGCCCAGCTTTGCAGAGAAATGATGCCATCAGAGGGAATGTAGCGCGATCTGACGTCGGACTATCCCCAGTGAGTGAAGATGGATGTCAACATCCCTCAAACTCAACGTGTCCCGTAGGTCCTGCGAGTTCACTGCTGGGTGCCACGGCACAGTTTGAGAACCCTGCCACTAGCAAATTTGCCTCTGAAACGGAAGTGGTAACGGCGTCTCCTCTCTGCTCTCAGCATCAGAACAATGCCACACAGAGTTGCAAGAGAAAACCCTTGGGGACTTACACCAGCCTCTGCAGAGGACACGCTAGTTGTTCTAGGCCTTCCAGATAGGCTTCACCCCTTCATCCCCCAAGGGGTTATCTGCCAAGCTCAGGTGTGACAGCATCTTGCTTTGCTGGAGAGAGGAGGCGAGACGTTCGCAGGCAAGCCCTGTGAGGTTACAAGTCTCCAGCCTGTGGGAGGAACACACGGACAGTAACTCCCTCATTCCTGGTCTTGGACCGGGGGGCGAGCACTCCCTCTGAAGGCACAAGCCTCCCCACACCTCTGCTGGCGCCTCCTAAAGAAAGGGTAGCGGCTTTGCTTGGAGGATGGCAGTTGAAGGAATTGTGGGTTAGAGAGAGAGTGGCACAAAGAGAGTAAAAGGGAAGACAGAGAGGCCATCGGTGACCACAGTGCACTAGCCGACACAGATAACCCAGGAGGTTACATGTGTTAAGGCGTTAGGAAAACAGAAAGCTGAGTGCACTATATGACCAGGCAAATGTAAGAGAACAAGAAAGTGGCCCTTAGTCACTGAGGAGACATGAACTGTCAAAACAAGAACCCACTGTTTTTGTTCAACATAATCGCAAGAACACCAAGACGCCTGACAGTAATGAGCTGAGTGAGAATCTGGAGCTTCCGGAACTTTCTACCCACTGCTGATGGGACTGGAATTGGTACAGCCTGGAAATCCGCCAGGAAGCACATCCCAGCAATTCTTCCCTTAGGCTGCTCACTGTAGCATGCATGCACACGTGTGCACATGCATGTGTGCACATGTAGCTGGCCACAGGAGGCAGCCCAGACCTCACGTGCACATAGGACGGATAACGAACATGCGTGGTCACAGAAACATCACTGGGCAGTAATGGCTGCAGGAGCAGCTGCACGCTGATGGGTCCTAAAGTGCTGATCAGAAAATGAGCGTGGAGCAGTGGCTGCCATTTATGTCACATTGAAAGCCATGTGAACCATATGGTGCCCTGTTGAAGGACGAACGTGCTGTAGCACAAGTAAACTAGGAGTCTGCCCAACCTAATTCAAGATGGCTGCCTAACTAGGAGTCTGCCCAACCTAATTCAAGATGGCTGCCTAACTAGGAGTCTGCCCAACCTAATTCAAGATGGCTGCCTAACTAGGCGTCTGCCCAACCTAATTCAAGATGGCTGCCTAACTAGGAGTCTGCCCAACCTAATTCAAGATGGCTGCCTAACTAGGAGTCTGCCCAACCTAATTCAAGATGGCTGCCTAACTAGGAGTCTGCCCAACCTAATTCAAGATGGCTGCCTAACTAGGAGTCTGCCCAACCTAATTCAAGATGGCTGCCTAACTAGGAGTCTGCCCAACCTAATTCAGATGGCTGCCTAACTAGGAGTCTGCCCAACCTAATTCAAGATGGCTGCCTTACTAGGAGTCTGCCCAACCTAATTCAAGATGGCTGCCTAACTAGGCGTCTGCCCAACCTAATTCAAGATGGCTGCCTAACTAGGCATCTGCCCAACCTAATTCAAGATGGCCACCACGGAGGTAGGGCTGGGCCGTCTGCACAAGTTGGGGGAGAGCAGACAGTACCGATGAAGTGTACTTAGCAAACTGGACAGTGGATACTCGGGGCTCATGGTAATCACATATTCTAGGACATTAGGTGCACACATATACCCTCATGTGGATTTTTTCCTCTCTCTTGGCTGGACTCTTAGGGACTGATTTATATGATCAGGGCAGCATAACGCTTACATTTGCTTCAATATATATGCCTTCCCCCATGACTGCTCTTTTCCCAGAAGCACCGAGTCTACTCCAAAGAGGAACAAGAGCGAGACTTACGACAGCCGTTCCAGTCGACTCGCTGACACATAATTCGCCATGAACGACTCCAGGGGGTTTCTTTTCAGCAGCAAAGTCCCCAGGTGGATGTCATTTTGTAGACCCTTGGCAAGGTCAATCCAATCTTCAGGGGTGGCCATGCAGTATTCCAGCCTGCAGAAGCCACGGCCAAGGCTGAGCCCAGCCCCCAGGGAAAAGGGCAGCTGGCTGGCCACCCAGCCCCTTGGCTGCCTCACGTCCTTGCTTCAGAACAGGAGGCTGACCCTGCAGGCTATCTCCAACTTCCCCAGCCCGTAAACCTGCATGGAGGCCAGCATCCCACGTTATCCATGGATAACGGTAAACGCTTGGGGCCGCCACCGCGTGGGACGGGAGTGTTATATTTACAAAGCCCTTTAATTGAGAAGCACAGACACAGAGAGAGTGAGACAGACAGACCAACAGACAAGGTAGAGACATCTCTCATCTGCTGGGCTACTCCCCAAAGGCCTGCAGCAGCAGGGCTAGGCCAGGCTGAAGCCCAAAGTCTGGAACCCATGCTGGGTCTCCCACACGGGGGCTGAGGCTCGGCCACTTGAACCATCACTTGTTGTCTCCCGGGATGAGCATTAGTGGACAGCTAGACGCAGGAGTGGAGCTGGGACTTGAACCTACATCACTGGGTGGCTTACCTGCTAGCCAGTGCCTATCTCTGTGTTAGCTAATGTCTAGCAGGTGCCGTTTTCACAATGGGCTCACGAAATTCCTGAATGTTGAACAACTGGCTCTTGCAAACCAGGATGAGTTCATAGTGGGGACCCAGGTTCCCCAGTACCGGGTGCACCGGGAACTTTATAAAGCTGTCCTGTGGACGTGGGTGAAACCAACAGCAGACAGATGGAAGGACGCAAGACGGGCAGACAGAGCCTCCAGCCACCCCCTGCCCAGGGCCAGGGTCCCCTGAACGCAGCCTCACCTCAGGCACTGCAGAGCACACTGGGGGTGTCTCAGGGCTGCACACAGGTCCCTCATGGCCTCCGTGCCCACTTCCGTGTACTGTATTTCCAAGCAACTCAGATGACGGTTTTCCACCAACACGCAGAACAAGTCCTCGTGCAGCACGCTGGGGCCCAAGTGTCTCAACCTGGAGCAGGAAGCAGCATCTCAGGCCCCCGGGGCGCCCACAGTCCCGACATCCTATGGCCATCACTGGGCCGCTTAGGTCACGCAAGGCCTCTCGGGGTAGCCGACAGTTAGGCAAGGGCTTGGGGCCGGGCGTTGACCTGGTGGCTAAGATGCTAGCAGGGGGTGTGTGGAGACGGGGAGGGGGAAATGGAGAGGGTGTGGTGACTAGGGACAAACACAGAGTCAGCTGGGGGAGTGGGTGCCAGCGTTTGGCAGCACAGGGTGGGGGACTCCGTCAGCCATCTAGTGGCCATCCCACAGCAGCCAGCAGAGAGGATGTCCCCGAGATGATGGGTATACCAGTTGCCCTGACCCGATCATCACACAGCACCCCAGAGCTACGTCCAGTAATCCAGCAAAGACAGAGACTTGATGCCACCCTTGGAAATACGACACCGAGCATGGGTGCTTCCTGGAGCCTGAGCAGAGAAGGGGCGAGAAGGGCTTCGCGGGAGGCCCCGCACTCACGAGAGCTTCTGGAGTTTGCACTGCGGGTGCCTCAGCGCAGCCGCCAGCACCTTCACTAGCGGGGCCTCCAAGATGCTCTTGGTCAGGGTCAGCACCGCGAGGCCCTCGTTGGTGGTGAGCACGGAGCAGATGTCTTGCCACCACTGGTACTGCATGTCACTCTCCTGTATCCTGCGCGCGGGGGCAAACAGGAAACGGTGCTGCAAATTCAGGGGCTCCCCACCCCGGTTACGGCTCAGAGCCCTCCCCGCCTCCCTCGGTGCCAGGTTCCCATTCCCCCGGCCGGGGCGGGGGGGCACGCTCTCAGGAAGCAGCCTGCATATCCATGAGGGCCAGGGATGGCATTGTATCTTTTTTTTTTTATTATTTTTGACAGGCAGAGTGGACAGTGAAAGAGAGAGACAGAGAGAAAGGTCTTCCTTTGCCGTTGGTTCACCCTCCAATGGCCGCCGCAGCCGGCACACCACACTGATCCGATGGCAGGAGCAGGTGCTTCTCCTGGTCTCCCATGGGGTGCAGGGCCCAAGCACTTGGGCCATCCTCCACTGCACTCCCGGGCCACAGCAGAGAGCTGGCCTGGAAGAGGGGCAACCGGGACAGAATCTGGCACCCCAACCGGGACTAGAACCCGGTGTGCCGGCGCCGCAAGGCGAAGGATTAGCCTAGTGAGCCACGGCGCCGCGGCATTGTATCTTACAGCCCAATCCTCACTCAAGTATAGAGAGAGGAAAAACACCCCATATAGGGGAAGATGAAGTGAGTGCAGGATGGGAGGGCCGTGGCCTGTCTGCTGCTCCTGGCTGTGGGTGGGACCACGCTCGGTCTGCAGGGGCAGGGCGGGGGGTGTTGTGCAAATTTCGATGCACCTCAACTTAACAGATTTGTGTATGTTTTTTTTTTTAATTTGACAGGCAGAGTTAGACAGTGAGAGAGAGACATAGAGAAAGGTCTTCTTCTGTTGGTTCACCCCCCAAATGGCCGCTATGGCTGGCGCTGCACTGATCTGAAGCCAGGAGCCAGGTGCTTCTCCTGGTCTCCCATGCAGGTGCAGGGCCCAAGCACTTGGGCCATCCTCCACTGCCTTCCCGGGCCACAGCAGAGAGCTGGCCTGGAAGAGGAGCAACCGGGACAGAATCCGGTGCCCATATGGGATGCCGGCGCTGCAGATGGAGGATTAACCAAGAGAGCCACGGCGCCGGCCCTGTGTATGTTTCATAGTAGGTTACTTATACCCAAAAATGTTATGCACCCACACCCACAACACACCTATCACAGTGGGTGCATTTTTTTTTTCAAATTGTTGTGAATCTCCCCCCAAAAATTCCCTCCCTAAAAATCCCACAGCTAAGTGGCCCTGCAGAGGTCAAGCCTGGGCTGCGTGCAAACTTCAGCAGCAAGATACATGGGACACCTGAAGGCTTATCAGCTACCTGGGAGGGAGCCCAGCTGGCCCAGAGACCTCGGGCAAGCCCGAGGAACACGGTACTTACTCAGCCGCGTGGAGCGAGTCCCCAGGGCCCGGCCACCACACCTGTGAGAAATTCACCATGAGCGTCAGCTCCACCTCCTGCAAGCGTCGACAGCGCTTAAGGCAGAACGCGGAGAGCTGAACATCTTTATTGCTTTGCATCTTCAAAACGGCTTTACGGTAGCCCGAGAGGGCCTGGCTGACGTAGTCCTCCTCCCGGACCTCCGTCAGGCAGTAGAACAGCTGCGGGACCCCACAGCACAGAGCAGGCAGGTCACCTTCAAGCAGCAAGGACACGGTCTGCAACACCTTCCTCTTGTTTCCCCAGGACAGCTCGCAGTGGAACACCCGCCTCACCATGGCGGCGCACGAGACGTTGAAAAGGCCAAACAAGAACATCCCCATGTGAGCCAGGTGGCTTCTGCTGCCGCCGGGACTTGCGATCAGGTACTGGATGTCTCCGTGGCCCAGCAAGTGGAAGGGGCGTGGGCCGCCCTGGGAAATAGAGGACGTGGAACAGAGCCGCGAGAAACTCCTGGAAAACGGCGAAGGCAAAGGTGTACCGGGGCTCTTCGCCTTCCACTTCCTGGAGGATGTCCGCGCCGAGAAAACTGGAGACGTCCAGCTCATCCACCTTGGCTTCCTCCAGATCCTCCTTACCGAACACCCACTTCATGCTCCACATGCCCAGGGCAGCCAGGTGGCACAGCCCCTCCAGGTGCTCCAGGTGAGTCCTGCCGGGCAGGGGCTCCGCCCTGAAAGGGAACAAGCTGGAGACGTACAGGGCGACCACGGCGGTGGCGTTGGGACAAGCCTCGGCCAGGTCCACTCCGGCCTGCATTTGCTGTCTCAGACAGGAGCCGACCATCCAGCACAGCGCGGGGACCCGGCACAGGGAGAAGAGGATGGTGTTCCTCCTGGCAAAGTCCACCGCGCGCTCGCCCTCCTCCGTGTTCCCGAAATACGTCCGCAGGTACCGGATTTTCTCCATCATGGTAAACCCTCGGAGGGTGACAAAAAAGGGGCTCTTCAGCAGGGGCCTCACCACCCACCACGAGTTCATTCGCATGGTCAGAAGCACGCTGGCCTCGGGCAGCATCGTCTTGTTCAGCAAGCTGCTCAGGAGAACGGCCCCGGGCAGCTTGCGGCTCCAGTCGGCGCTCAGCTCGCGCTGTCTCACGAAGAGGGGCCGGGTGAGTTTCTCGAAGCCGTCGAAGAGGAGCAGAAGCTGGTCCGGCTTGGACAAAATCTTCGACACGAGAGCCTGGCACCCTGGCCACTGGCGCGCAATCAGCTCCGAGCAGCTCTGCTCCCCGACGCCAGTCACCTCTTGGCACTGGAAGTAGAACACGAACCAGCCCTTGTGGACGTAGAACTGATTCCTCGCCCACGCCACCATCAGCTTTCTGGCCAGGGTTGTCTTCCCAACGCCAGGAGCGCCGTCTATGATGATCGTCTTGGCTGGTCTCCCCTGGGGTTTTCTGGGTAGGAACAGACAGGGTAAGAACGTCTTGTGCTTGTGCACTTCTTGGTAAAAGAAGTCCACGCGGTTCCCAGGCCAAGCAATACGGTCCCATTCGGGGAAAAACTTCCGCAACACACACAGCTTATACTCTCGTAGTTGATCTAGACCGGCGAGGCGGGAGAGACACAGGGCACGGCATCAGTTATTCACGGGAAGAAGCAGAGCAAGGGAGAGTGGCAGAGACCTCGTGCTCTTCCTGCTACGAGCCAGAGCTCACAGAGAACCCAGCCCCAAGTGGCTTACGCAAAGCGAGACTTGCTTGTTGACCCCCGCAGCACGTGGGGTCTGTGTGCAAAGCTGTGGGAGTGGAAGCAATGACTCAGCAGTCTCAGGGCCAAGGGCACCGGGCTCTCTCGGTCCTTTGTCCATAGGCTGCTGCAGTTGGCTTTAGCTGTGCTAGTGGCAATGGTGTCAGAAATACTGGGGAGAGGGGACGTGCTATTGGCTCCCGTCTGCTTTCATCAGCACAGACAGAACCGCCCACTCATGCCTCACGGTCAAACACTGTCACTGAATGAGCCCCACCTCTAACAAGGCGAGAGAACAAGCATGGCCCGGGAGATGGCCACACTCCGCCCGTACGTAACATCGGGCTTCGTTAGCGTACAGGGTGGAATTCTTCAGGTAGGCAGCTACGAGGATGTCGTAAACCTCTGTCCTAATCTGTGACTCTCTCTCTCTCTCCCTCTCTCCCTCTCCCGCCTCCTCAGCTGCGAGCTGCACCAGGATCACCCGCAGCCTGGTTCCCACTGTGTCCCTGGTCTCCGGGCAGAGGGAAGCCTTCGGGAAGTCCGTGATCTGCTTATTAGCACCTCTGGACCTCCAGCGAGTCACAGACCTCTCAGCCTCACACCTCTAGAATCAGAGCCGAGTTCACCACGTGACGCACGGCCCTGTTCGAATCACCAGGCTCTCGGGATCTACAGTGGGGCTCTGATGGCGCGAGCTGACCACCCACAGGCACACTGAAATGGCCTGGACCCTTCGCTCCCTCCCGCCTCGTTTCCTTGCACGATGTTTCACACCTACGTAATTTGGGCTCTCTCTGGAATCCCAATCTGAGGACCCTGGAGCATGAGGGAAGGAGGAGTGGATTCAATTTCCACATTCCCTTGCCAATCATTCCTATTCTGGCAACAGCGTTCCAGTTTTTCTTTGGACAACTGTCCCATCCCACCCTCAGTCCGTTAAACTGGACTGTGCCTCTGGGTCCTGTACCCACGGATTCCATCAACAGAGGACTGAACATACTTGAAGAAAAGATTACACTGATACTGAAAATGGATAGCATTTTCTTCCCATCATTCCCCAAACAGCACACTGTAACTGTTACTATGGCGTGCACGTTGTATTCACTATTTCACGTGCTCTAAGGATGATTGAAAACGTCTGGAAAGAAGTGCGTAGGTTCTAGGTAAGCACGGCACCACCTTACATAGGCACTGGGACATCTGAGGATTTGGGTGGTCAGACCGTTTCCCTACGGACACCAAGGGACTACTGTACTTGTCTTAGCCAACCAGAATGTTCCATTCACTAAGGAGCACATGGCCCCATTCAGCTGTGGTTTTTGTTGGAAATCCTGGACAATAATCCCTCTCTTTCTGCCGGTGTTGCCTACAGACACTACAGATGCTTCACGCAGCCGGTGGCAAAGCTGCCACCACGTGAGGGAGACACTGATCCCGCACAAGGCTCCCAGTTCACGGCAGAGAGCAGGTGACAGGAGGAGGTGCCGTGCCTCAGGGAAGCGGTCTGAGCCCTGCATGCTTCTGTCCAACTTCTGACCAGCAGAAGCACTGGACGTGCCAACCCACAGTCCGCCTGGATCGGCCAGAGGAGCTTCCCACCCCGACCCACGCCCGTTTTCCACCAGACGGCCACGGTCACATACCCACTTCTTCTTTCTCCAACTTCAGTAGCACTTCTTCATTCGATACCAATGTAGGCAGCAAGGCTGGAACAGACAAGGAAGGGGACTGTCCACGGGCTGACGGATTTATGTCACAGGGGAGCCACGTGGCGGCCAGGGACCTGTGAGTCTCACTCTGCCAGCGGCCCCTCTGTTCAGGGAGACAGACATCTCCTGGGTCTCCTTCACGCGACTTTAGGAAACGGGAAAGTGCTCTGCTTTGTGACCCTGCGCCCAGCGAGCACTGAGGGGCCAGTATATACAGGTTAAGAGTCCCTTATCCAAGCACGGGGACGAGGAGTATCTGGGGCTGTTCCCCAAGTTTTAGGTATTTGCATAGAAATGACAAGTTATCTTGGGGATGGGGTCCAACTCTAAGCACACACTCACTCACGTTTTAATTATAATAATATAATTGCAATTATATTATTATATATTATTTATAATATTATATACTTATCACATATATAATATATACCATGCATTATATTATATATAATATAATTATTTTAATTATAATAAAATTAATGTAATATATTAGTATAATTAATAATACAGTATATATATATGATAATATGTGATTAGTCCACTGATTAATGAATAATAACCTTATTCTATGTGTGTTTTTGCTTAGAGATGCACTAGCCAATACCTGCTGTTGACTTACTAATGTTGAACTCAGGGCCAGCTGCATCGAAGTCTGTAACTAGGATTTCCCCACGATGCACGGCACAGCCTCTCTGCCCTTGGGAAGAGTGGGTGGTGCTGCACCGCCCCGTTTGGCACCGTCTTACACGGCAAAGCCACCAATCAAAGGCGCGAAAGTGGCACTAACCAGATCACGCAGAGGCTATTTGCTTTCGGGGTGAGAATGCAAAGCCGAAGGCAGAACACGGCCTGCTTTGGCCTCCCTGGAGCACGCGTGGCGCTCAGCCCAAGGTTCCTAAGCTTGTGAGGCTCTGCGCAGGTCGAGGCTTGGCCTTGAAAGCCTGAGGTTGTGCCTGGGGAGGTTACAGACGCATTTAGCAAGCAGGCAAATTCACGGGAGAGGAGCGCATGAATTCTGAGGGCCGGCTGCCCACCCCCCACGCCCACACTGCTCTGTCCTCCGTCCCCTCAGGTCCCAGACAGCGCTAGCATTTCCACTCCTGAACACCTGCCGATCCCCCACCTCTGAGACGCGAGACTCCGTGAGCCTTTCCTGCCTCATCCAGCCAATCTCCTTCTTGCAGCTCTTTCCCACAGTTTGTTAGCCAGCCTCAGGTCCGTGCCCGCAGGAGGACTTCCTGGCCACCGTACGGAGAGCGTCCCTCCTCGCCATCACTTATGCCCAGTTTTTGCTGGTAAAGACTGTAGAGTTTGCATCTTATTCCTTCTTGTTGGTACGAACCTTGACTTCGTGCAACGTCAGCTATTAGTGGAGGGGTGATGCCACCTCAATCCATGTTAGTGCACTTGTCCCCTTTGCTTTTCAACAGTCAGGTTTGGCTTTATGTCTGGGTGCTCCATGGCTCTCCGTGCAGTTATGTCCCAGTAATCCACCATCAACTAAAAATATCATGCATCAAAAATGCACTGGGGGTGCGCTGGCCGCAGCGCGCCAGCGTGGCGGACATTAGAGGGTGAACCAACGGCAAAGGAAGACCTTTCTCTCCATCTCTCTCTCTCTCACTGTCCACTCTGCCTGTCAAAAAAATACACTGGGTACAGCTGACTCAGCACACACCACAGCCTACAACATGTGCACTGGGACAGCTGACTCAGCACACACCACAGCCTACAACATGTGCACTGGGACAGCTGAATCAGCACACACCCACAGCTACAACATGTGCACGGGGAACAGCTGACTCAGCACACACACAGCCTATCAACATGTGCACTGGGACAGCTGCTCAGCACACACCACAGCCTGACAACATGGGCACCTGGGACAGCTGACTCAGCACACACCACAGCCTACAACATGTGGCACTGTGGACAGCGGAACTCAGCACACTACGCACAGCCTAGCAACAAGTGCACTGGGACAGCTGACCTCAGCACACACACACAGCCTACAACATGTGCAGCTTGGGACAGTTGACTCAGCACACACTCACCAGCCTACAACATGTGCACTGGGACAGCCTGACTCAGCACACACCACAGCCTACACCATGTGCACTGGGACAGTCTGACTCAGCACACACCACAGCCTAGCAACATGTGCACTGTGGACAAGCTGACTCAGCACACACCCACAGCCTACAACATGTGCACTGGGACAGCTGACTCAGCACACCCACAGCCTACAACATGTGCACTGGGACAGCTGACTCAGCCACACCACAGCCTACAACATGTGCACTGGGACAGCTGATCAGCACCACCACAGCCTAGCAACATGCACTGGGACAGCTGACCATCACACACCACAGCTGAACAACATGTGCACTGGGACAGCTGACTCAGCACACACCACAGCCTACAACTGTGCACTGGGACAGCTGACTCAGCACACACCACAGCCTACAACATGTGCACTGGGACAGCTGACTCAGCACACACCACAGCCTACAACTGTGCACTGGGACAGCTGACTCAGCACACACCACAGCCTACACACGTGCACTGTACAGCTGACTCAGCACACACCACAGCCTACAACATGGTACTGGACAGCTGACTCAGCACCACCACAGCCTACACATGTGCACTGTACAGCTGACTCAGCACACCCCAGCTGAACTACATGTGCACTGGGACAGCTGACTGAGCACACCACAGCCTACAACATGTGCACTGGGACGCTGACTCAGCACACACCACAGCCTACAACATGTGCACTGGGGACAGCTGACTCAGCACACACCACAGCCTACAACATGTGCACTGGGACAGCTGACTCAGCACACACCACAGCCTAGCAACATGTGCACTGGGACAGCTGACTCAGCATACACCACAGCCTACAACATGTGCACTGCACAGCTGACTCAGCACCACCACAGCCTACAACATGTGCACTGGGACAGCTGACTCAGCACACACCACAGCCTACAACATGTGCACTGGGACAGCTGACTCAGCATACACCACAGCCTACAACATGTGCACTGGGACAGCTGACTCAGCACACACCACAGCCTACAACATGTGCACTGGGACAGCTGACTCAGCACACACCATAGCTGAACAACATGTGCACTGGGTACAGCTGACTCAGCACACACCACAGCCTACAACATGTGCACTGGGTACTATCTTCCTGGCAAACATCACAGCTTAGCAACACGGCGCTGGAGAGCACTGCTGGTTCCCCCTTGTGACTATGTAACTGACTGGAGTTGTGGCCAACGCCCAGATTCGAGAGTTCGGTTGCACGTATATGTGGTCTGGGAAACGATGGACATTCAACGCTTGCAGCTCTGAGTGGGCACTTCACTTGCTGTTGTGCCACTGTCGAGTGGGGACCCTTACGCTGAACACCCCAGGTTGGGGACGCTCTGTATGTGGGGGTGTCCCCGGCAGGGGGGGTTAAAGCTGCCGTCTCCCCCTGTGGGGCTGATCCTCTGCTGTTATGAAGTGGCCCTTCGTAGAATGTCATCCTCTCGCCCGAACCACTTCATTTCTGTCATCGTGACTGCAGCAGCTGTGTTCTGTGGGAGTTTTCACCGTAGCTGCTCCCCATCACTGCTCTTCCTCCTTTTCCACGGTGTTATGTAAAGCTCATCTCCTGGAAGCAATACCCAGTCCCCATCAGCTTTGAAAAGTACGTCAGGATGGCAGACTGTGGGTCCATCACCCACCGTTTGCTTTTTTTTTTTTTTTTGACAGGCGGAGTGGACAGTGAGAGAGAGAGACAGAGAGAAAGGTCTTCCTTTGCCATTGGTTCACCCTCCAATGGCCACCGCAGCCGGCACACCGCGCTGATCCGATGGCAGGAGCCAGGTGCTTCTCCTGGTCTCCCATGGGGTGCAGGGCCCAAGCACTTGGGCCATCCTCCACTGCCCTCCCTGGCCACAGCAGAGAGCTGGCCTGGAAGAGGGGCAACCGGGACAGAATCCGGCAACCCGACCGGGACTAGAACCCGGTGTGCCGGCGCCGCAAGGCAGAGGATTAGCCTAGTGAGGCCGCGGCAACCGTCCTCCGTTTGCTTTCTTGTTCCGGTGGCCGATAAGGCACAGAGCAGCCGGTGTAGTCAGTGCCCCTCCCTCCCTGCTTCCAGTGGATTCCCAGCTGCGGGTTGACACCATTGGAAGAACACACGGATACTGAAAACGCGGAGATCTCTTCCCCTCAACAGTGTAGCCTATCGGTTATCTATACAGCGTCTCACAGACCCAGCTACTGTAAGTAATGTGAAGATGATGAGGAATCCGTGGTAAGATGTGTGTGGGTGCTGTGCACACACCACACCGTCTTCCACCAGGGACGCGAGCCGTGGCGGGTGTCCTGACACCAATCCCCTTGGACACCACGGGGTCACTGCACTGGATTCTGGAGCCCAAGGCCACCCCCATGTTGTACGCCGGACCGCCACTCACCATTCAGCTCCTTCTGGACGAGAAAGCACATGTTCTGCTGGTTCATCTTGGCGAAGAGGTTGTGGGTCACATCCCAGGCTTGCCGGCCAGGGAAGTACTGGGTGAGGAAGTGAGCCAGCTCCGCCCAGCTGGCGGCCTCCAGCTGCTCCCCGGCGGGCTGGGCGGAGATGCTGAACTGCCTCACCAGAAGCTGCTTGAACTGCCGCAGCTCCTCCTTGCTCAGGTACAGCAGGTAGAGCATGAGCCCTTTCTCGTACGGTGACGCGGAGCAGCACGAGGTGATCCAGAAGGGAAGAAAGGAGGCGTACACGACCGAAGAGGAGAGAGCGCTGGGCCCCGGGATCGCATCGCTCATCCTCGCTCCAGGCCAGGCAGCACAAAGACAGCCGATCAGAGAGACCCGAGACCTGCGGAGACGCGACACGAGAAAGAGAACAACCCACCTTCACAACCTAAGCACCTCCCAGTGCTCACCCCGCAGTGGTTAGTACATTACACTTTATAATATAGGATTACATTACTTCTGTTTGGCGAAACCCATCCAGGCCATAGAACAGTCTCTCGCCTGTTCCCGTCGCTCAAACGTTTCGACGTTGAGTAGGTGTCACGCTGTCTACTTTAGCAAAGAACACAGGACATCCTTGCCCTTGGGGAGCCGGCATTTCAGGGCACCCCAAAGGGGACACACACGACGGAGAAAAGAAAGCCAAGAAAGGGAACTGGAAGCAAGAGAAAGGATGCTGCCCTTCGCGAAGGCTGGATAACGTGTCCACGGGAAACAGGGACACCTGAGCCAAGGCCGGCAGCAGGTGAGGAGGCCGTGGGCGGGCCCTGTGGATGTCAGACGGAAGAGTCCCATGAGACGGAGGGGCACTCATCGAGGCACGGAGGTCAGAGTGTGCCTGGAGATGTCTGAGAAGCAGGAAGGGAGCCGGTGTGGGAGCCAGAGGATGGGGAAGCCGAGAGCAGTGAGGACGCTTTCGGTAGCTTTGCTCTCCTCTGAGGCAGGAGCCACTGGCGGCCTTGAGAAGACCCACACGGAATTGTCCTCTGCACAGCCTTTTCGGCTCCTGCTCCGAGAATGAGGTGGAAGCAGGAAGCCTGACAGGAAGCCCGGGGTGGTGACCCGGGTGGGTGGTAACGGTGGAAGTGTTGAGAACGGGCCATCGAAGAGCAAGTCAATGAGATGTTGGTATTGAGGCGAAACTCACGTGACATGAAGTGGGCCATTTGAAACTGTACAATCCAGTGCTGCTTGGTCATTCACGATGTTGTATACAGCCGGCAATTCCATCTACAGGCGTGTGCCACAGGGTGACACTTGGCCAGCAGGGGACGTTGTCTTTGTGGTGGTCTCCTGAGATTGTCTCAGCAGGTGGCGCTGTAGCCGCCTTAGTCCGCGGAAGTGCCGCCTGTGATGCTGGCACAGTGACTAACAATGTGTTTCCGGGAACAAGTCCCTGTCATTAAGCACACATCCCATACGATAGTGCACGCCCACTAAGCCTCCACTCTCCAGCCCTAACCTCTGGCCATCACCAGCTTGCCTTCAGTTCCTACGGACTTACACATCCTAGCTATTTTCTATAAACGCAGTCAGAGCCACGAGGGCTTGCCGATGATTTCCTCGGGAGTAAGGTGTAAGAGAGAGGGAGTGGCCACCATGTGTGCAAGGATTTATCAGCCTGGGCTAGCAGGAGGCTGCTGCTGCCATTACTGGAAATGTGGAAGACCAAACCATGGGCTTCAAGAGCTGAGTTGTGGACATTTTTTTTTTGACAGGCAGAGTGGACAGTGAGAGAGAGAGAGACAGAGAGAAAGGTCTTCCTTTTGCCGTTGGTTCACCCTCCAATGGCCGCCGCGGTCCGGCGTGCTGCAGCCGCGCACCATGCTGATCCGATGAACAGACCAGGTGCTTCTCCTGGTCTCCCATGGGGTGCAGGGCCCAGCACCTTGGCCATCCTCCACTGTACTCCTGGGCCACAGCAGAGAGGCTGGCCTGGAAGATGGGCAACCGGGACAGGAATCCGGTGCTCCATCCAGGACTAGAACCCAGTATGGCCGGCACCGCAAGGCGGAGGATTAGCCTAGTTAGCCGCGGCGCCGGCCTGAGTTGTGGCATTGTAAAGCAGCCTATTCCTTATGAAATGGAGATGCCAAGCAGGGAGCTGGAATTCAAGAGAGAAGCCTGGACTGGAGACAGGGCCTTAGTGCTTTCTTTGGGATTAAATCCCGAGAGGAAGCAAGGCCAACCGAAGTGTGGGTTCAGGGAAGAAGAGGAAGGTGTCCAAAGCTGGATCTGGGCACACCAGCGTGTGGAGGTCTCCTGGGTGAGCAGCGGAGGAGGTGGAGGGTAGAGAAGCCAGCGCGGCAGCATGGAATCGGAGAGGGGACGTCCTGGCAGCCGCCCCTTGCACGGAGAAGGTCAGCGGAGCGAGAGCTTGGAGGAGACTCAAGCAGGACTCAGGGCCCTCGTGTGACGCAGGCTGAGGCTCTCTGGGGGCTGAGCAGGAGGAGACTGAGAGGGGAGAAGGGGGCGGAGGCGTTGCAGGAGATGGTGCTGTGGCCGAGGACCTGGCTGCTGGGAGACAGCCGGCACGCAGACAGCTTTGACTTCTCAGTGAGGCGCTCCCTGTAACTCACGTCTGCGGACTTTCTCATCGCGGTCCCACGGTGTGTATTTTCACATGGCGCACATTCAAGAAACTATTTAAAATTTATCTTAATTTACAAATAAACACAGTAAAGCAATGCAACGTGATGCGTTATTTCAAATTATTTGTTTTAAAATGATGCTCTGTATAAGATAAACCCATTTTAATCGTTTTTAAGCAGCTCATTGGCGCTAAGGTCACTTGCTTTGTGCGACTGTCAGCACGATGCATCTCCAGGGCCCTTCCATCATTCTGCACAGAAAACTCTGAAACCCATTAAACGGCATCTCCTATGCTCTCCACATCTTTCGCCCCCCCTCCCTGGTAATCTCTGTTCTACTTCTGATTTTTTTTTAAAGAATGTACTTATTTGAAAGTCAGAGTTACAGAGAGAAGGAGAGACAGAGAGACCGTTGATCCGCTGCTTCACTTCTCAAATGGCAACAACAACTGGGGTTGGGCCAGGCCAAAGCCAGGAGCTTCTTCCAGGTGTCCCACGTGGGCAGCAGGGGCCGTCTTCTGTCCCGAGATCATTAGCAGGGGGCTGCATAGGAAGAGGAGCAGCCGGGACTTGAACCAGCACCCACGTGGATGCCGGTGGTCGCAGGTGGTGGCTTATGCTTGACCGCTGTCTCTGGTTTGGATTGTTTCTAGGTGCCTCATAGCAGACGGGCGCATGCATATTTGTCCTTTCGTGTCTGCCTTGCGTCACCCAGTGTGAGGTTTCAAGGTTCCCCGTGCTCCACCACGGATCTGTACCGCAGCCCTTCTGAAGAGGGGAGTTGTACTGCATTCTGTGTGTACCAATTTCTCACTTAGCTCTCACGGGTATGTGGATTCTTTCCACTCTTTGGCTATTGTGAGCAATGGTTGTACAGCGTTTCGAGTCCCGGCTTGCAGTCCCACTGATGTATATCCCTGGGCTGGACCTGCCCTCCTGCACGGGCAGTGTATTGCTTAACTCTGTGCAGAACTGCTACCCTGCATTCCCTACCCCATTTCCTGTCAGCGACACCCTGCCATTCCACGTCCTCCACGTTCTTGCCAACACTTGTAACTTAAAAAAATACTAGCTATCCTAATGGATAAACATTCAAGGGGGCCAGCGCTATGGCACAGCGGGTTAATGCCCTGGCCTGAAGCGCCAGCATCCCATATGGGCGCTGGTTTGAGACCCGGCTGCTCCTACTTCCGATCCGCTCTCTGCTGTGGCCTGGGAAAGCAAAGATGGCCCAAGTCCTTGGGACCCTGCACCCACGTGGGAGACCTGGAAGAATGCCTGGTCTTGGCTTCGGATTGGCGTAGCTCTGGCTGTATGTGGCCATCTGTGTGAGTGAACCATCGGATGGAAGACTTCTCTGTCCTGCTGCTTCTCTTCTCTCTGCTGTGTAACTCTGACTTCAAATTAATAAATAAATCTTTAAAAAAAATCATTTGAGCTTACTCTCCGTCTGGCTCAGGTGGTAGAATCTTAACCACTCAGACGTCACTTTAAATTTCCATCCACAAGATTCCTGTCACCTGATCCTTTCTACTCCACGGTGCAAAATAGAAAACTGAGATTTCGCTTGGGTTGGGAAAACTCACCCAGGGGCTTGGCCTTGTGGTGCAGCGGGTTAAAACACCACATGAGATGCTGGCATCTCAATGAGAGTGCGGGTTCGATGTCCCACTGCTCCACTTCCAATGCAGACTCCTGCTAAGGTGCCTGGGAAGCGGCAGAAGATGGCCCAAGGGCTTGGGTCCCTGCCAGTCCTGGGTGCAGTTCCCGCTCTTGGCTTAGCCTGCAGCGCCCTGGCTGCCGCTGCCATGTGGGGAGTGAATCACAGATGGAAGACTTCTGTCTCTGTCACTCTGCCTTCCAAATAAATAAATGAAACTTAGAAAAAAGAAAACCCAGCCAAAGCTGCCAGTGAACCAGTCTTCAGAAACCAGCAAGAGGCGCCCCGAGCGCTGCCCAAACTCCCTGGCGGGGCACAGGGTGCAGCGGGGCTTGTGAACTCCCACTTCCTCCTGGGCTGGTGCCGCCCAGTTCTCCTTGGCATCCTCGGCTATTTCGCCGTCGTCTCCGAATACCAGGAGGCCCGACTCCATCTCCCGGTGGGTCTGGGGATCTCTTCCGGCTCTGCCTCTCTCTTGGCTAGCAAAAGTCTCAGAGCTGGAAGAGAATCTGCGAATGTAGCGCCCCCCCTTGAGACAGAGGCCGGCAAGGACTTTCATCCAGGAGGGCCGGTCACTTTCAGAGCGAATCGCTGGTCTTGGCATTTTCAGTACAGGTCGTTTGGGTTTGGTGAACCAGTGGATCTGTCTTTGCGGCCATTAAGAAAATGGTCAACACGGAAAATAGTAGGTAACAGAGGGAAAACATAATAATAAGGAAAAAAACTCACTCACCCCAGAAGGAATTAGGCTTCCTGCTCTTCCTGTCAAAACTGTCTCTCAAAGCTGAAGAAAAAAGCACTGAGCCCGTTCCTTGCCGAAGCTCTTATAGGCTTTGGGGCATCCGGCAGCTGACATCCTGGCTTCCTATTGGCCGGGCAGTGACAGCCTGGCTTCCTATTGGCCGGGTAGTGACAGCCTGCCTTCCTATTGGCCAGGACAGCCTCGTTATCCCCTGCATCACAGGGACTTGAAAGCCCTGAGCACCCTGTGCTTGGAGTTAATGGGCTACAAGGCTGGGCTCCACAGGTGCCTCCACTTG